TTAATATTTATTGTCCAATGAGAAGTTCAGGTTTTCAGAAACATGTATAAAGATGTGATCCGCTTTTTTGCACGAAAATCGACATTGATGAAAAAGTGGTAGCGGACAGCTAAAAATCTTTGGTGAACTTTTTTTTTAGCGGCAAGTTGTATTAAATTTATTTCATTTAATACAAAACAGAAACCTCTTGAAATATCAAGTGATGATTTAAAGTTCCTTTTTGCCAAACAAATTCTCACAGTAAAACAAACGCTTTTTCATTGTGAGATCAGATAAATATTCTTTCTTTCAAAAAAGTTTTCAAACAATTAAATTAATTGTTAAGGGTGAACAACTCTTGTTTTATGCATTGTATATTTTGTATTAAAAACATTACTTAAAGAAACATTGCAAAACAATTTGTTAAATTAATAATATTGGTCTTTAAAATTCATCATAGCACAGCTAAATCTTCTGAGTAGTTTATTCTTAATAATTTGTATGATTCCTATATAAATATTGTTGCTGTTTTACTTACATCATTGTTGTCATCTTGTCTTTAGACTCGTGCCAAACGACTAAAATTAAAAATAAAATGTTTGTGCAGAAGCGAAATATTGTACATACAGCCAACCTCACATGACTGAACAGACTTTAACTAATTTTTAAAAACCTATTTAAACTTCTCCTCCGCAACACACAACATTTTATTTTTTACCAGAAAGAGTTAAAAAAAAAGAAACATTTTATTACTGTTGTAGTTGTCTAAATGAGAAACATTGTTTTTAGACAAATAAGATCTTTATTGTAATCATAATTACAATATCATTGAATAAAAAGACTTCTTTTAATATCATTCACTAGTTATTTGCATATTCGACCTTGTGTCGTCTGATTAAAAAAGATCGCTACTTTTGTCTTGAGAGACACGTATGTGAAAAGATGTTCTCATTCGAGCCGATTTCAAGATGTTTTTCACTTGTCATTTATTCGTATAATTATTTAAATAAAGAAAATTCATCAGGCTTTTAAAAACTAAGAATGAAAAACATATCGTTTCATATTTTCCAATAAAAAACGCATAACGATATTTTTAAAAACGAGCAAGGGAGACAACTTTGGTTGAGTTGTTTCCCTTGGGCTGCCTGCAGAAATTTTGTATTTTTATTTGTTTTCTGAATTGTTTCTAAATAAATTCAATATGATTGACAAAAGATTTGTTTTAATAATCAATTAAAAAATCCATATAAAATCAATCAGTTAAATTACATATATAACTATTTTGTAATGAATAAAAAAATTGTTTTAATATTTTCTCTATTTTTAAAACCTAACACGATTGCTTCAGTTTAGATTTTAAAGGAAAGTATGTTTTAGTTCTTCCAACTTCCATGAATAAAAATCATTTTCATTATATTTTAGTTTCGTATTTACATCGCATATGATGTGTGACTAATTTCGCCTCCAATTTACTGTACGTAAAAAATTCAATAAGATATTTATCATGTCATCAATTCATTTTAATACATAAAGCTAAGTGGCTTCAAGTATTATTTCAGTTTAGTCCATGCAAAACATGAAATTAAATTGCAAATTAAAATAACTTCTGATAAAAAATCGAGTCGCATGAAGGCCGTAGAAAAATACAACACATTCGGTAGGAGTTGCTATTGGCTGTTCCGGTAACATCATTCGGAGGGAAGAAGGCGCTATGGCTGTTCCACAGTTAGGTAAAAGTAATATAAAACTCGGAAATATTTTGTCAACATTTTAATTTGACGAAGTGTTTTGATGCATTTTTACTAAATTTTAAAATTTGTAGATTTGTCTATATATAAAAAACCATGCAAAGTTTTATTTTGGAGCAGGAAAAATGTCAATAATCAGACAATAATGATCCTAAAACTCGAAAATAAAATTAAAAGAAAACTAATTTAAATGCAACCTCTACTTCGGGAAGGTCAATTTTAATGAAGTCAGAGAAAAGGCAGTAGAGTTATGATATTCAGAAGATTAAAAAATACTCGCAGAAATTTTAGAAAATTTTAAACAAATCGATGTAACGTAGGTACCTCCACTGAATTTTCGATACATATGTTTTAAAATTAAATTAAAAATGAAAAAGTATTCTTGAAGATTTCATTCTAATTTTAATTGAAAGCTAAATGATTAAATTTATTATTTCCAGTAAGTAAAATATTCTGGTGTATTTCAGATAGAAATTATATAGATTGGGACGTCAAATAATTGCTCTCATTTTTTTTTTTTTTTTAATTACCTAGTAATTTTTATAATTTAACATATTTTTGGCAATTATTAAATACTAGCAGTAGAGCCCGGCGTTGCCCGGGGATGTAACAGTAAGAGATAGATCAAGTATCGACCATCATAAAGACTGAAAAATAAAATTGACAAAGATTATTTTTTAAGGTTGACGGACACGCATGTCTTAATTAGTTTTTTTTTTTTGTTTGTTTTTTTTTACGAATTGGTCAAACTCAAACAAAAACATTGTTTTCAATCATTATGAGCCTACCGATTGAATAGAATTTTATGATAAGCAATTGTCTTGTAAATGGAATTTTTTTAAAAAATTCTGATTGTAAAAATAAAGAAAAAAGTGTGCAAGACAATAAGAAACACTACCTGCCAAAAAAAAAGTGAAGTTTTGTTGAAATCGGATGAAAAATGTAGGAAATCCGATCCCATATATAAACGAACACACACACACAAACAAACAAACCTGGGTTTTATAATAAGTATAACTCGATATGAGTTGTCCCCTTTCATTCTCGCGACAACGATACCTCTTAATCGTGTTTTCAAATTGATTTCATGCAAAAACAATTATGTTTTTCCAATTTTTGGCGCTGTCAGAACCACCGCAAGGTAATTTTACGTAGTCCTGTGGAGTTTTGTTGAAATCGGTTGAAAAATGTAGGAAATCCGATCCAATATATAAACGTACAGACACACACACACACACACAACCTGGGTTTTATAATAAGTATGATTTTATTGACTTTTAATTAGGTTATTAAGAAGCTTTATGAAATTTGCATTTCGTCTCTAGGTTCTTAAGTTTACTACCTTAAACAAAAAATTAATTAATTGAAGTATGACCCAAACTAAAATAAATACATAAAATAAAAATATTTAGTGAAATAGCAATTAAGAAAAGTAAAATTATTTTTTTTATGTTTTGAAGAGATGATTTTCAAAAACTTTAATGATGAAACAGAACCGAATTAAAAGTGAAATAATTGCGGATGCCACTTAAATCACGTGATCTTTTTAACGATTATGTCATGTATAGATTCCAATAGGTAGAAATTAGGAACGATTTTTTTACTAAAAAATATTTTAAAATTATTTTTAAAATATTCTGGTACAAACGAATTTCCAAATCAATGTTTTTTTTTTTCACGGAAAAAGTGCAAAATAAACCTTTTTTCTCTAGTTCGCCACTGTCGTAAAAAACAAGATTTTTAACCAAAATTCTGAACGTGCTTAGAAAGGAGTAAAAAATTTAAAAAAAATAAATAATAAAAAATACTTTGGCCTCTTAATAATAAATATTTTGATGATAAAACTTTTTTATTTTGGGAAATTTTTTCATCATGTTATGCTGCTTCTTACGCGACCTAGTAGAGTTATCTAGAACGAGAAAAATTAAAGATAAATTTTGATTAAAGTCAAAATCTTTTAGTTATTAAGAATTTAATCGCACGAATGTCCGAAAGCAAATGAAGCGAGCAGTTATTTGCCGAAAGAGTCACAAGTTCAGCCAAACTTTAAAAGTTAATCGTTTAAATGTAACGCTAAGTTTGAAAAGATGTTCAATAATTCTTTTTCAAAGATTTGTTGGCATCTTAAATTGACTTGTTTGAGTCTTATCAAACTAATTATATCTCAATAATGGGACCTTTACGCCATTAAAAAAATGGGACCTTTCCACAATTAAAAAATGGGACCTTTCCGCCATTAAAAAATGGAACCTTCCTGCCATTAAAAAAAAAATGCGAGGTTTCAGCCATTAAAAAAATTGGGACCTTTCGCCATGAAAAAATGTTAAATATAAATATAATTAGAAAAAATGTTGCAATAGTAAAATATATGAACGGTGGGAGGAAATCATTTCTGGAAAAGTTTGATCTCACCTGCCGAACACCCATTTTTATATAACATCTTATTGTCATTAAGTACATATTCTAAGGCGAAAAATCTTTGAAACGTATTGATATATTAAAAGCGAGTGACGTTTTCTTCACCGTTCTAAGTGACACAATATTCCTAATTTACATAAATGCGTAGTGCATTAATAAACCTAGCAGCAGCAGCCCTCGAAGAATAAAACAATGCGAATCCTTAATTCTCTTCCGGGTTTTCCTCTTTCGAACTATGTGACATGAAGCTAAAAGAACTATGAACGCCTCACACTAAAACACACCAACACAGTCCCACTCAAATATATTCATGAACATTTTTTTATATGTGCATTTTACTTCTAGGAAAAGAAAAACACTTGTCTTACACTTTCCTTTTGTTTATTTTGTTTAATAAATGTTATCTTGCACTGCAAGTCAATTGGTTTTTGGTATTTTGTGCATGTACCCTTTCACCACCATTATTTCATTTATTATAAAATTTTCTTGTAGTAAACATTACATTAATTCTTGAAGTAGCCAACTTACTAAAGTAGTTATCCTGTAAAATCAAGAAGGCTTTAGAAATTGCTTTCGGAATTCTTCTAAGAAAATTAAAAAAAAAAAAAAATGAACGCTCACTTTAGTAAGTATTTTGTTTATTTGTAAATGTTTAGGCAGTTTTCAATGCTAAAAAATTGACAAACTTAATATTCATTTTACGTAACAGTGCAGCCATTTTTGTGCCTCACACTTCAATAAGAATTTCTGCATGCAAAAAATAACACTTTGTTCGGTGTAGCTTTAATTTTTTAAAAGAAAACGTTTTCCCAATAAAGTCGTTAAGTTTTTTCTCGACCTGATTTCCGACTTAAGCTAATAATCCGGCCAAAATGCTTTCTTCATCTTTTCATAGTAAGTAGTCAAGTTTGGATAAACGTTATCTGAAAAACAAACAAAACAGAATTAATAATTATTTTGACATTCAGTCCTTTCCTTAAATTTAAATACAATCAGTACGAATAAGGAATCTGCACACCTGTAATTCTGGATTAGAACGTAACTCATAAAAAGAGCGAATCAGACATCTTCCCGCCAAACCGTGGTAACAAACCAAGGTGAGTGCTAGTAGATGTTAAATTAACTGTTAAAAAAATATTTCTAATCAAAACGCGTATATCCTCCCAAATGTAATATACAACATTTATTTGCGGTAATCAGAAGTATGTGTGTGTATGAAAAAATTACGACAGTTTAATTTATAGCTGTTATTAACTTATCATACAATTGTCACTGATCAAGTTGAATATCAAAGTGAAAAAAACAAAATCTCGTTTCAGACCCGCTTTTAACTTCAGGATTAAAAAAATAATTACAAGCACAAATGTGCTTTTCCGACGATAACCAAGGGTGATAACTCAGGCAGCTTTTCAAAATAGCTCCATTTATTCTTAGATAAAGATTAAACACATTTGAATGTTAAATCAAACAAAGGCGAAATAAAATGCTAATTTCGAAATAATATATTTGAATAGTACAATTATTTTTATGTCATTTTCATTTTTATTCATTTTGCGCATTTCACCCTGCATCTGATAATTGTGGTTCATGGTGACATTCAAGGCAGAATTCTGCAATGGCTTGTCGATTCCTTTTTGCACCGGGGATGTTAAGGTGGATTTGATTTTTAAGTTAGTTTCTTCTAGACTTTGTATAACAAGATTTAAATTCAGAGTTTCCGTCTTCTAGACTGATTGCTATAGGCGATAGGAAACAGTTGGGAGGAGAGGGGACGACACGGACTCATACCTTTCACAAGAAAGTGTATTAGCACATAAGTGAATGTAATGAACTCAACTGGAATTCGAACTCAGCTCTCCGATTTCTTAATCCGAGCCATTACTCCACCGTGGCTCCAGTGAGCGAAAAAAGTTGTATGACGTCTTTTTTTTTTTTTTTAATTAATCCTAACATATATAAAACACTATAAATTAAGATTTGTCAATGATATTGTAGGTGGTTCACATATTTTAATAATTTGGTAAATGTTTATAAGTTTATGAATAAAAACTTGTTTTCATATTTACTTCCTTATAAGTTGATATATATAAACAAAATCAATTAAAATAAGCAAAATCAATTAAAAAAATCTCTCACCTTTCATGATTTTTGTGACGAAGGAATTTTCCGGCATATTCCTCAACATTGCTACCAGTGCAAATATAGCGCAATCAGTTTCACAAGGCTGATTCCCCATCAAGAATAAATTCCGGCCTGGGGGGATAGAAAAATCATTTCATTTGTGTTGTAAGAAAGAAATTCAAACTCACCTGGAATTTGTGATTGAAGCAGTTCGGAAAGTTTTGGTGACAATAAAAACCATTTGGCAAAGGAAATGTTTACAAAGACTGAAACAAACCGGTGACAGCTAAAGTTTGAAGCATTTGAAATAGTATAATGATATCCTTCGGAAAACTTTAATCCCAAGAAAGGCGATAAAGCCACTAAAACATAAGGAATTACTAAGAGTGAAAGAATGTGAGAAAACGTTACTGAGGAGAAAAGTCAATAAAAAGATCAGGGCCCAAAGAGACAGAAGATGACGATTGATGTTGCATTTAAATTTCTGAAGAATGTAGTTGACAAGAAAGCAAGAAGAACACTGAGAAAACGTAACTGAGGAGAAAGGACAATAAAAAGAACAAGGTTCAAGGAGACAGAAGATAACGATTGACGTTGCATTTAAATTTTAAAAGATCGTAGTTCACAGAAAAGCCAGAAGATACTTCCACAAGAGAGAAGTGCGTAAAAAAAATCTAATAGAATAGAACATACAGTTACATCAACAGAACAGTAAAAAGATGAGACCTAGCTGCCAATCTAGTACTACGCTTAAACTCATGAAGTCAAGGTATCAAAGAAAAAAGATCACCAGAACAATTGTCATGAAAATATTTATAGAAAAAGTACAGTGAATCTACATTATGATGATGGGAAACTGATTAAAGCCGAGATTCCAAGTCATGACTGATAACATTGCAGATTAATTCTTCTTTTGATTTTGTAAAGAATCTGTAAATGAGTAACAGAGATGTACCAACAATATTCAGTGCACGAACAAATGGCAGATTGTGTTTTCTATCATTGAAGATTTCCAGAAAAGTTTAGATATATAGTTTAAATTTTTAAAATTAATCTTAAACTGGTCATAAAGCCGGGTTTTAATTGAAAAATATGTTATAATAAGATTCGTAAATTGCACGGAAGTTGTCATCCCAAACAAGATTACAAAATAGACGAGTTTGGATAATGTTATATAGGAATAAAGTGTCACTGCCGACACATGAGTTTGAACATAGATCGCCAGTGAGCAATACAAGCGATTCCATTATTGAATTAAATAGACCACGTGACCATAGAGGAAACGCAGAAGTAGAAAGTCGTGTGACGTCTAAATGATCACCATTTCTAGTCTATCCTCTATTACTATGCGGATCACCATTTCTAATCTATACTATTTCTCTACTCTATTCGCTATACGTTGGTTAGTATTCGAGCGAGTATTATCGAGCAAGTACTATTAGTGCGAGGGATATGCGAAGCATCTGATACCAGTATTGTTCAACGGCGTTACTACAGTTACATCTGCGATTACAAAGTCTCTACTACAACGAGCATTACGAAAGTGACAACGAGAGTTCATTGATATCATAAAAGATAAGCTTACCAATTTGGTCAGACAAAGCCTGTAAGTCTCGCCTGCAGAGATTCTCTACTTCTTCCCGAGTGTGTCGACCGTAACCCTGGCAATAAGTCTGTCGTTTCACTGCTGACTTGATTTTCCATAAAATGCATTTGCTCACTAAAATCCTTTTCAGTATAAAAGAACGGTCGTAATCGTGTACCCACAGGCTCAAGGCGAAAATCCTGAAAGGCGAAAAAATAAGAAATTTAACCAGTGCCCACTATTTACATTATTCGGACTATTGTCCTCATCTTTGTCGCCATATTTATTACAACGTTTCGGCCATTGTACGCTCTGGTCTTTTTCAGGTGGTTGGAATGTCGAACTGAACCCTTTATTTCTTTATTTAGAACACCAGAAAGCTGTAACACGGGGGGGGGGAGTGGATAAATCAGGCATGGCTGACCACACATGGAGAGAAAAGGGTAATCACCGCCCTCGGTGGGATCAGGTTGAGATCATAGACAAAGAACACCATTCTAAAATTCGTAAACTTAAGGAATCAGCACATAGGCTAGGCCACAAAAATCTCCTGAGCCGACCAAGCATAGAAATGAATAAAACATGGGAACCAGTAATAAGGAGTGCCAGAGAAAAGCGATAATAACAACAAAAATTGCAATATGAGCTGTGAAAAAAACATGCTGATAACAGCAAAAATTGCAATATGAGCACTGATAAAAATGTTTGCTGAAGACATTACGTTTATAATACCGAGAAATTCATACACAGATGTCCTCAAGGATCAAGTGGATAAAGGCGTTAGTTAGATCCATTGACAGGACCCAAAGAGTGTGAGTTCAATACCTGGTTAACGCGGTGGAGAACTTGGAGAGGGGATAACTGACATCCATTAGACATGGCATGTGGAACTAGAACAGTCTACTCCAGTGAGCTAAATAAAAGGTTCAGTTCGACATTCCAACCACCTGAAGAAGGCCGAAAGGTTGTAATAAATATGGCAACAAAATGAGGACAATAGTCATTAAATAGTGTACATAATACCTCATCTCAGAAATACAGACAGATAATTAACCATTGCCTTACAAATTGAATGATAATGACAGCAACAACAATAACAAAATTCTAAATGGTCGGCCTGGAAGATCTAGAAAAGTGACCACTTGCCAGTAAAGACTTTCTTCAGCCATTTTCCGCATAGCATGAGCAACTGCCTTCTCTTTTGACGTCAGATGTTTACTAAGATCAATGTCAAATTTCTTGTTTAGGAATTCAATAATGAACTGAGTGTCGCTGATCACCTGCCCGTTGAACATGATCCACGGAGTTTTATGCTTCGGTGACATCTTCAAGGAATACTCGTTCTGAAAATATAAACAGATGACAGAGAGAAATGTTTTCATTTAAAACGGGCAATCAGTTTAAAAAGAAAAGGAGTATCTTTTGTTAAATCCCTCAGCCTTGGACGAAATCGGGATCTATAAGATTATCGAAATAATCAATGAAATATATAAAACCAAAAATATATCCTGGGGATCTACCGCCATGGCTACGCTTAACAAGCTAGATGAAAGCAATCTCCATTGGACAATCAGATTAATGAGTCCAATAACTAAGCTTACCATTGATTGATCAAAATGCAATAAAACAGGTGGAGAAAGTGAGTTTAAGCTGTTCCAATCGATTCTTGGGGTACAATTGTAGAAAGAAACTGCAACGGATTATAACAACCAATCATAGTCACGTGATTAGTTCCTGAATAAATGCTGTTGCAATGTAGTACATGAAGTCTTGTAACGAATACACATACCTGTTAAAAAAATATTAGTGTAGTTGCTATCTCACTCAAAACCTGTCTAATTTTATTTCATTTCCTTTAGAGTCATATCAACATTTCTAGGGGTTAGTTAATACCAAAATATAAATATTTCGATCGAAATTTAATCCCTGCAACTAAATATGTTTTGAATATAATTGTATGTCTACAAGTAAACATAGTTTGAACACAATTGTATGCCTTCAACGAAATATATCTTGAACACAATTGTATGCCTTCAACGAAATATATCTTGAACACAATAGTATGCTTTTAACTAAATATATTTTGAACTCAATTGTATGCCTTCAATTAAATATATTTTGAAATTTGCATGCTTTCAACTGAGTATATTTTGAACACAATTGTATGCTTTTAACTAAATATATTTTGAACACAATTGATGCCTTCAACTAAATATATTTTGAAATTTTCATGCCCTCAACTAAATATATTTTGAACAAAATTGTATGCCTTCAGCTAAATATATTTTGATAACAATTTTATACCTTCAACTACAGATAAAATGTATTGTTGGTAATGTTTCAATATAAAAATATATTGCTGGTATTTTTACTATAAAAATGTATTTTTATCGTTTTACAGTGTTTTATTTGGTGGTGTTCACTATTTGCAAATAGCTAGGATTATATCAGCTGCTACCAACCCAGGCTAGAGTAAACCTGAGAACAACAGCAATTAAGAGTTGGTTCCATGCTTCTCAAACCCTCCAATCTCCCGATTAGAGGCCTTGTACCGATGTAGTCAAAACCTGGTGACTCCCCTGAAGTGTATGAGGCCCACACACTTTCGACACGCTAAGCGTTCTTTCCGTGGGTTTCTATGGCAAGTAGTTTTTTACGGGTTTTTAGCCTCATGCCAAACCGATTTTGATATAAGAGTTGTTCTTCTCCAAGATTGGTTGCAAAACAAGCCTGAAGAGCTCAGTTTGCCTTACTATTTAACTTATTGCTGGGAGGAGAATATGTATTTTTACCCTTCGCAAGGGATTTACACAAAAGTGAAACCAGTGAACTCGACTGGAATTCGAATTCAGCTCGCTGAATTTTTGTTCCGTGCCGCTAATCATTACACCACCCGCACATCCTAATGTATTTATAGGCAATACAGTCTCCGCCCCCAATCTCGTATTCCAAGATAAATCATAATTCCTAAGATTATTATGATTTTTGGTTACTGCTGGACTTTTTGAAACGTATTAAGATTTCCAGTAAATTTACAACCCCAAAAGTAGATATTGTAAATAAAACTGTTGTTATAATCTTAGTATTGGATATAACAGTTTTTTTGCTTCAAAGAAAATACTAAGGACTGTGAGTGAGAAAGAAAGAAAGAAAGAGAACGAAAGAAAGAGGGAGACCAGCGGTCGACATTTCGACTGGATCTGAGAGAATTCATCCTTTTGATAAAGCCGAACACATGATTTCTACCAACAGAAAATACATTTTAATTTCCAGCGACCCAAGTAAGGGTCACGAGACGAAAATTTCTGCTGGGCGAAATATCGCAATTGCTACTGTTTACCAGAAAGACATTTTTCAGTTAATGATGGGTTTGTATTCGGTGACATGGGACGACAGAATGACACATTTGTCTCAGCCTGCATGCAGCAATTCCTCTCGGGTAGTCGGAAATTTAACTTTTATCATAACTGCTTTGCCGTCATACAACATATTTTCCGCCCCACTCTTCAACCTTAATAAAATCCACAAACATTTATATTTACATATAAGTTTTGGAAAAATGTTTCCCTTGTCAACTTACTTGATAAGGTATCTTTGCCATCCGAAGGTACATCTCTAGTTTGGCTGCAAATGGAGACAAGGTCGAGGTTTTCGGATGTTGAGGTGGTTGAAATAAGATAACGACATCTTTAGGATAATCCTTTTTCCTGGAAACAACAAAAAAAATGAAACGCTAATCATGGAAGCCAAATTTTATAACAATTCCTAAGGAAAATAAAACATTGCCCAGATGTATTGGCACAAATAAACGGATGAAACCGAAATGTATTTTGTGTCTCCTCACTGAAAACTGATAGATGGCTCTGATGAAATTACGCAATCGATCAAATTTGGTCTTCAGTATACGGTTTGGTAAACGACGTTTCGAGTTGCGTGGAATAGTAGCCCTCTTCATCATCTTCATCTGATTAGAGACTCCGTCAAAACAATTTGAAAAAACCAACGGGAAGAGAAAATTACGCTGGTCTGTCAACAAATCCGTCGCTTTATGATGGAAAATTAAAGGGAGAATCCGGGTAAATACCCTGGCGGAGCGGAACCCAGACGAGGCTATTCTGAAGGGTAGAATCTCGTCTGGGGAGGTCGACAGCCACCAGACCCCGTGTATACGAAATCTACAGGCAATTTTTGTCCGAGCCTACTGTCTCGGAATCGCCCCACGGAAAATAACTGGCCTTGGGCCTTGTGTAACATCCCGCCTTGTGGAGAGGTCTTGGGTAAATACCGAGAAGGCAAAATCTGTATTTAGCGGTTGTCTGAGAAAGTACAGTAGTAATCTGAAGCTGGACTTACTCTAAGAGTAATAGATGCATTATAACGTAGACAAAGTTTCTCTATTAATCCCAGCTAATCACATCTTATACGGGAAACATTTCCGGTCAAAATTCAGCTTCTCACTTTAATCACGCTACATATTCTCCCCTCCCCAGCAGAACGATACCGCAGTGTTGGTTCAGAAACAAAGTAAACAATGTCACTAATCAGACGCTAGTAATTATTGTATTCTCTTTGTTGTTGTTTTTTTTTTTTTCGTTTTGTTTTTTTGTTGAAACGTCACCGTATGACACGATTAATGTAAAAAGTATTTATTTGCGTTATAAGCATAATATTTAACTAGAAGGCGCCGTGAAAGCTTCGCAGTTTTCCTATTTTAACATTCCAAAGTATCTTAATTCGAATGAATATTATTCTGGTGAATCTTAATTTTTAATTCTAATGACTGAATAAGCTCATGACGAGTTCTACGACAATAAAATATCAGTAGAAATTTCCCTATCGCATCGTTAAATATTTGAACTTAACAACTTTAACAAAATATTGCAATGATAATCATAAATATGAATGCTGGTCGTTATTTTAAGAAGTGGGTACAAATGAAAAATTTTAAATTGACAACTTTTTCCGTTGCACTGAAACAGCCGTTAAAGACTTCTATTGTCCCTTCTTTCTTTCATTTTCTCACTGAAACCAAGTACGGGTATGTAATTGAAAAAACGTCAACGGCAGAGCACAGATGTAAACAAGTCTGAATTAATGTTGGAGCGGAAAACAACGCACGAATGCTACCTATCAGCAGGAATATACCTTATCATGCTATTTTTTGATGATTTTATGAGATTATATATATATATATATATATATATATATATATAGTTAATAAAAAAACAAAGTAAACATCTATTTTATAGGCTGTAGTGCTTGTGTGTATGCACGTGTGTATTTTGGAAATCGATTTGATTGAATTATATATATATATATATATATTATATATATATATATATATATATATATATATATATATATATTATTTTGAATTATATAAATATGTTTTCATAGTGCCTTTTCCCAGGGATCAAAACGGAATAGTTCATCATTTATGAGATATTAGCAGGAGACGTTAAACACTTCTATCTTTCTTTCTTTCTTTCATTTTCTCGCTGAAACCAAGTAATGTCTCTCTCCTCTTTCCACGTGATCAAAACGGAATAGACTATTATTTATGCGGTATTGGCAGGGCGTACCGGTGGTGCGAACTAACGAAGGGAGGGACAAGCACTATTATAATAGGACATTTTAATGTAACTAAAAGTAAGGGACGATATAAAAAGATATGGGGACGGATGTGGGTAGTAGTTTTCTCTAGCCCGACCCTAATTTCATCACGTTCACTGTTCATGATATATATTTTCATTTTTTATTAATTCCTATTCTTTCTTAAAACCATTTTTATTCATTGTAAAGACTATTTCTATGTTATGAGACAGCAATTCATATTCTGTATGAATGGTTTTAACACTCCCATATGTGAAATGCACGGAGATACGGATTTAGCAATCGGAGAGCCAAGTTCGAATTCCAGTAGAGTTCATTACATTCACTTACGTGCAACTACACTTGGGAAAGGTATGAATCTATCTCTTTTCCCCTCAGCTATGGGTAAATAGCTAAACAGCCTGGATTCTATAGAACTGGGTGACAACTGGTCTGGGTGAAGGAAAAACTCTGAATTCAAAACCTCCACCTATGGGTAAATAGTGGGGCAGTTTGGGCTTTGTAGCCATGGTTGGCAACCAGACTAGAAGAAGGCCAACTCTGAATTCAATTCTGAAACCGGAGTCCCTAAGAAAGTCTAATGTCATGTTCAATTTCGTTCTGGCAACGACGACGACAAGCTGTATTGATCTCTGCCTTTCCTTTGGACAATATTGGTGGCATGTAGCGGGGAGACGTGCTGCATGAGAAACTGCCCATCTCTCATAAAAGAACCCTCCTTAGTCCTGCATCCTGACAAGGGCATAACTCTTCAGGTGTAGATCCATCGTCTCTCGAGATTTATGCATGCCATACATGTACAATGTTTTACGGGAGTGCGCAAGGATACAATTCAGATTAAAATGTAATGAGATGGTCAAATGAAATATATGCATATACAAAAATGCGTTAATATTTATTCCCGCCTCTGTCTTAACAATGTGGCAGAATAGTAAGTTAACCCTTCCAAAAACTGTTGTGTGTAAAATAGAAAGAAAAATTCATCTCAAGCAACACCAAAAAGAAATGCTGGCATTCCATGATCCTTCGAAAAAATTGGCAGATCTCCAAAGAACTTTACCTTCCAAAAACAAAAGTAAAAAAATTAAACCTATCCCATTGACGGAGATGACTGTCTTTTTTAAAATGCCTCTCGTATTCTTAGCAATTCATCAAATGAATGTCGGGACCTAACCAGTTTTTTTGCGAAGTCCGTTCATCCGGCAAGAGGGTACAAACTTTCTTACATATATATATATACTTATATGGTACGTGACCCGTAAAGGTTTACATGACCTAATTTTCTATGTATTCTAAACATTTATGGGAGAAGATCGGTTCACTGACTGGAAGGAATTTCATTCTTAAATTTCAGTTTTCAGCATACAAATTTTTTTAACCAATGAAAATAACGACTTGCCTGTAGGTAGCTCCGCTAATTCGGTATAAATTTTCGATACCTAAAGTTTAAAATGAATTCTTAAAAATGAAAAAGCATTCTTGAAGATTTCATAATGGAAAGCTAAGTGATTAAATTTACTATTTCCAGTAGAATATTCTGGTATATTTCAAATAGAAATTATATAGATCGGAATCACAACTTTTTGGCAAATTTCAGAAAATTTTCTTGAAAACGGCCATTTTCTTAATTTTAAGAAATTTGTAAACAAAACAAAATTATCGGTTTTAAAAATTTTACACAAATGAAATACGTATTTATGACACGTTATTTGAGTAAAATTAGCAAATTTAAAGTTAAATTAACCTGATTTGAAACAAACATTACTTACTGCATAAAAAGCAATATACAAGCATTTCTTAACGATGGGTCCTGTCTTTCTTTCATCTTTCTTGACATATCGATAAGTTACGAGGTGATGACAGCTAGTATGGATGACCAGAAGTGACATAAATTCACGAAATTTAAGTCAACGCATTTTTATTTTTAACTACAGGGTATTTTTTATAAGTTAACATATTTTTAGCAATTATCTAATATTTTACGTTTGAAGATGCTTTATGAAAAAATAAAATTTAAATTACTATATAATTTTCTTAAATTAATTTTAAAATTTAATAACAGATGAAATTAAAATAAAAATAAATAAACAAGAAAATTAAAACATAGAACTGGATTTTTTATAATAATTAAAATATTATTTAATCATTAATAGTTAATAAACTTTAATTAACATTAGCTAAAAACATTTTTCTATTTTCTTCAATCCAAGCACGTGACCTTTTCATAATAATGCCATGTTTAAACTACCATAGAGGAAAAAAGGGAACAATTAAAATAAAAAATAAAAAAAATATTTTTAAAATAAAATAGTAAAACGACGTTTATTAAGCTTTTCGATTTTGTATTCGTAAATTTCATTTCCACTTAATTACAATATCACATACAGGAGATAAAGTAATGCAGAATGTTAAAAGATTTTTAAACTATTATGAATTATTGCAATTAAAAAAAAAAAACTGAAAAATTCATGTAAAAATTTACTATTCATCGAAATTTTTTTCAGACAATAGTGTCCTTAATATAACTTATTTACAAAAGCAATTAAAACCTTTTCTTATTAAACAATGTCATATTTTGATTACGATAGAGTAATGGGTAGCGACTCGGATTGAGGAATTGGAGGGCCGAGTTCGAATTCCACTCGAATCCATTACGTTCACTTGCGTGCTAATACCTTTGGGAAAGTTATGAATCCTCTTCTTTTCCCCCCAGCTCTGGGTAAATAGTAGGACAGACTGTGTTCTATCGCTCTGGATGGTAACTAGTCTACTGGTAGGTAAATGGCAACCTACTGTAGGAAAAAATCTACCTCGTCAGTCGTGTATCGAAAGATACATGATAGTCTAAGCGTGTATCATGCATGACACATAACTGACTGGGCTTGATTCTATTTTTTAGTTTACTATTCGGAGCAGATTTTCAGTTAGAATAGAAAAAGACTGAAAATAAAAATTGGAGGATTTACATTCTCCAAGGTGTCCTACTTTTAACTAATAAAAAAATTCTGGATAAAAAAAGGAATTTAGTGAAATTTCATGAAATTAAGAAAGTGGGGGTGGGGTTAACATTGTAAAAAATACTTTGTTATTATTAAGAGAAAAGATCAAACACTTTGACGATAAAACTTTGTTTTTGTTAAGTTTATGGCCCTTTTTTCATCATGATGCCATTTTTCTACGAAAAAGTGGAGGTTCCTACGTTAAAGGGCTGTTTCTGCAAAAAAGACAAAACAGCTTCTTGGAAAGGATTTCATTATTTTAGGCGATTATGGACTAAAATATTTTCTTCTAATCAAGTTTACAGTATAGGGTTTAAATAAAACAAATTCACAAATATTTCTTTCGATTTACAAAAACGAACATCAATTGCGTGAATAATGGAGATTTATTATTGATAACATTAAAAGACACTAAGGAGATTTTATTAAAGACATTTAAATACTTTACTCGTTTTCTTTTGGAAAGTCCATAGCGCTACCTAATATTAATCAAGGTGCCCCCCACACACACACACACACAATTCTAAATCGTTTCAGTTTAGGCATTTTAGATTCCCTACTAATTGGATCTGCCAAAGCCAAGTTTAGTAAAATAGCTTTGACGAAAGATACTTTTGATAAAAGTAACCTGGCGTGTGTGTGTGTGTGATTTCGCCCCAAACAAGCCAACAAAGCCACTAACACGCATGGTGTTACTGAGTGTGAAAGTATATAAGAAAAACATTAAGGAGTGAGAGCAATAAAAGAAAAGAAATTAAAAAGACTGAGAATAACGATTGACATTGCAGTTACATTTTTAAAGATCAAACTTAACTGGAAAGAAAGAAACCGGAAGAGAGTCCCACAAGCGAAAAGTGCGAGAAAAGAAACTGTTGGCATAGAACTTACGGTTACATCTTGCAATTCAGGCAAATCTCTCTGACCTAAATATAACCTCGAAAATAAAACATTTTGAATATTAGAAGTTACTATTGCCATCAATGTATAACCAGACGTCAAGTCTTTTGCGAAGTCCGTTCATCCGGCAAGAGGGTACAAACTTTCTTATATATACTTATATCGTACGTGACCCGTTAAGATTTACATGGCCTAATTTTCTATGTATTCTAAACTTTGTTTTTATTTGTTATAGAAATATTTGTGAATTTGTTTTATTTAAACACTAAACTGTAAACTTGATTAGAAGAAAATGTGTTCGTTCATAATCGCCTAAAATAATGAAATCCTTTCCAAGAAGCTGTTTTGTCTTTTTTGCAGAAACAGCACTTTAACGTAGGAACCTCCACTTTTTCGTGGAAAAATAGCATCAGGATGAAAAAAAGGACCACAAACTTAATAAAAACAAATAAAAATAAAGTTTAGAATACATAACGTTTAAGTGATCGAGCGTTATAAAAATGATGTTGGTTGGAGAGTTAACACCGGAAAATATTACCGTATGTTCTCGTTTTAGCGCCTTATTTTTAAATAAGGGCGTCGGTCTTTAACATAACATTTAAATTAAAAATAAGCGCGTCGAGCATTTTCGGTAATAATTTTTCTAGGTAGATTTTTAAGAAATAAAACCGATTTGTAGGCTGATGAACTTGTATTTATTTATTTAATGACTTTGAAAACTCTTTGGAAGATAGAAAGAAGAAAGTGGAATGAATTTAGAAATCCGTCCACTGGTTTTCAGGTCAAACAATTTCAGTAGGTGTGACGACAGCAACAGGTAAATCAAGTTTTAGGAGATAACAGAAAAATGAATTTACCAAGGTTAATATCGTAAACGGAAAGAGGTAGATTTAACAATTAGTTAAATCAGGTCAGTATATTTTTTAACATGTAGTAATTTTCATGCGTGTTAATGAATTTCTGATGCTTCTGAAGAAAGATAACCCAAAATCATTATTCAATGATACCAGTTGACCAATTTGAACGATCTTTATTTATCACCAAGCCTTTCTAATCATACATGTATTCTGAAAAAAAATTTTTATTTATTATTATCATTATTTGGGAATTGCTTTTGTAAAAAAGCATAGTCTTTTCGACAATAAAATGTGCATAATTTAGTCCAGCACAAAGCTTAAGTGATAAAATGCTCTTAGGAAGATTGTATTCCGCCAGTATCTTAAATTGAGAAGAGCCTGCTGCTTTATAATAGATCACTTTTAGTTCTGTTTATTTCAAAATCTACCATATGCTGCCATGGAGAAATAAATACTATGTTTGAACTTTTAAAGAAGGAAAAGAATTATTGTTATTATTATATTAAGAAGTGAACACGATATGAAGAACTTGTATACATTGTACGTCAGCTTGAATGGAATGTGATACAAAGCCAAGTTTAAAACGAGAATCTTACGTGTACATGGGACAAAAATTGTTCGAGCGCCAAAACATTTACTCTTTAGATAGACCTTAAGAACAGGGAATTAAACTTATCTCTCCCTTAGAGGAGAATTACTAATTACTATTAAACCTTGGGGATTGACTACTTTATACTTGATTCCAGTCCCAATTGGGTTCTAGATTGGGCCAGGTACGACGAGGTGAGAAATAAATGCGATCAGAATTGGGATCTAAGTGTACATCAAACTAGGAATAAAAGTGCTCAAGTCCCATTGACATTTCCCCCTCTTGGAGACGTCTCAGAGGTTAATTCTACCGCTCACTCCAGCCAGGTAGCTTGATGAGTGCCCATACTACGATCTACCTTTTAAAATGTTTATCGATTGACAAAAGATGTGAAAGTATTTTTTAAAACTTACTCTTCCGAAAAGATGCAACGGATAAGTTTGACTGCAGCCACTAAAACAACCCCAGAACCAGCAACAGCGAGAAGGATTTCTTTCGTATTAGTAGCAGTTGCCATTTCAAGGTGGCAAGGCGTGTCCTGTAGTCGTTTTATGTGTATTAAAAAAGCTATTTCTCCTTACAGAAAAAACTGCTGTCGTCAAGTAACGAAAAACAATCTCTTACACCTTTAGTAAGATAAAGAAACGAAGTCGGTGAAATCTTTTTTAACACGGTGATGATGCAGTAAAGTCTATTGAACTCTGGTCGTATACAAGAAGTGTGTGTTTATTAAAGGGCAGCCCACGAAAGACGAACAACCTTTTTGTCGTGGCTCAACTGGTAAACATGTATCAAAGGCGTCTTCTTGATTGGCCAGAGTTTGAATCTTAGACGATTGCTTTTAGCATATATTTCGTGTACTATATTGTTTCACATGAGCGGTCAGTCTTGCACTCTTAAAAACTGCTCTATTCAGTAAGCTTTATTTATTTCGTAATAATATATATTAGGAAAAGCATGAATTCAATTCTCCTTGGGATTTCATATTTTCACAAGTTTGCTCACTGGTAAGGTACAAGACTACGTGAGTAAGAATGTAGACAAACCAATGTCCATGAAATATTTTTTTTATTTCATCGCCAACAAGAAACATTTTTAGTCCAACACTAATTTTGATTTAAATGTCGATGGAAGGGTTAATATATATATATATATATATATATATATATATATATATATATATATATATATGTGTGTGTGTGTGTGTGTGTGTATATATATATATATGTACAGTATTTACATTAGTCGGACTATTGTCCTCATCTTTGTCGCCATATTTGTCACAACGTTTCGGCCGTTGTACGCTCCGGCCTTCTTCAGGTGGTAGGAATTTCGAACTGAACCCTTTATTTCGATCACTGGGGTAGACTGTTCTAGTTCCACGTGCCATGTTTGATGGATGTCAGTTATCAGTTATCTCCTGCTAATTTTCCCTCTGAAAGTTCTCCACTGCCTTAACCAGGAATTGAACCAGTATTATAAACCTAATGTTTTCAGCATAAAACATTAGGTTTATAATACTCAGAAGTTCATACCCAGATGTCCTCAAGGACACATGGCACAGTGGATAAAGGCGTTGGTTAGATCCTGTGACAGACCTAAAGAAGGTGAGTTATTCCTGGTTAAGGCAGTGGAGAACTTTCAGAGGGAAAATTAGCAGGAGATAACTGATAACTGACATCCATCAAACATGGCACGTGGAACTAGAACAGTCTACCCCAGTGATCGAAATAAAGGGTTCAGTTCGAAATTCCAACCACCTGAAGAAGGCCGGAGCGTACAACGGCCGAAACGTTGTGACAAATATGGCGACAAAGATGAGGACAATAGTCCGACTAATGTAAATACTGTACATAATACCTCATCTCAGAAATATATATATATATATGTGTGTGTGTGTGTGTGTGTGTGTGTATAATTATTATTTATAAAAAAAATAATAATTATATCTACTTTGTATTGAGCACTCTTTTAAGAATAGTAATTGTTGGTTATTGGAATTCATTCCTTATATACCAATTATATACTTGTCTATATATATATATATGTATGTATGTGTATACATATATATATCCTTGAAGACATCTGGGTATGAATTTCTAGGTATTATAAACCTAATGTCTTCAGTAAACATTTTTTTTACCAGAGCTCATATTGCAACTTTGTTGTTATCATTGATTTTCTCTGGCACTCCTTATTACTGGTTCCCATATTGTATTTATTTCTATGCTTGATCGGCTCAGGAGATTTTTGTGGCCTAGCATATGTGCTGATTCCTTAAGTTTACGAATTTTCCAATGGTGTTCCTTGCTTATGATCTTAACATGATTCCACAGAGGGCGGTGATCTCCCTTCTCTCTCCATATGCGGTCAGCCACGCCTGATTTTTCTACTTCCCCTCGTGTTACAGCTTTCTGGTGTTCTTGAAGCCTTACCTTGAGGGGGCGGCGTGTCTCTCCTTTATATTCCTTTCCGCAGCTGCACGGGATAGCGTACACACAGTCTTTAATCATGTTCTCCTCTATGGGGGGGTCTTATTCGGGAGAGATATCTGCGAAGTGTCGTCAAACTTTTGAAGGTTGTCCTGATGTTATATGGACCGCAGATCCTTTGTATTTTCTGATAACCCCTTCACATAAGGCAGGCACACTGTTTTCTGAGTGTTGTTGTACTCTTTCTCTTGTACCCGCCTATCCCAGTTTTTTTTTTTGGGGGGGGGGTGCTGCTGCCATGTACCTGACATCAAACATGGCACGTGGAACTAGAACAGTCTACCCCAGTGAGCGAAATAAAGGGTTCAGTTCTTCGACATTCCAACCACCTGAAGAAGGCCGGAGCGTACAACGGCCGAAACGTTGTGATAAATATGGCGACAAGCTGGGGGCAATAGTCCGAATAATTTAAATAATTTACACACAAACATATATTAATCGAATTTTCCTCAAGCAAATCAGTAAAGCCAAACACAAATGGTTACTGGCTGTGAAAGAATTAGAAAACAGAAACATTTGACTGTGGATAACGATTGACATTGCGTTTAAAATTGTTATGATATGACATGGTTATATGTGCTGTACATCTTCAAAAACATGAGGTGATGGATACAGCACATACATACATCTCATACCATAACTATCTAATGACAATTTAAACAATCCTCTTAAAAAACAATTGTTGGAAGACCCGAAACTTCCAATGATGTCGATTAAAACATCACTGATATAACCACTACTGTCACGGTCTATTGGGTAACTATCATTGAACAACTAATTGAACACAATGCAAAATTCGATTAGGAAATCAGACTCGATGAAACGTGAAATCGATACAATTAACTTTATTGCACCAACGATCCGACAGAAATTTACTCTGCTAAGTTACAGGAACAAAACTTACTGCACAGGTATAGACCCTCGAGTTGGCATTTACTACTCATAGATTAATGCAACGATGAAAAGAAAGGACAGAAAAAAGAATAAAAAATTATAAAAATCAATGAAAGATCTATCAATTCTTTATTTCATTTTCACAGTGTTTTCCGTAGAAAGACGTAACGTTTTTCTCAGCCCGATTTACGATTTTTGCTCGTAATCTGGCCAAAATTCCTTCTTTATCTTTTCATAATAAGAAGTCAAATTTGGATAAACGTTATCTGAAAGACAAACAAAACAGAATTAATAATTAATTTGACATTCAGTCTTTGCCTTAAATTTAAATGCAATCAGTACGACTACGAATAAGGAATCTGCACATCTGTAAATTTAGATTAGAAAATATCTCTTGAAAAGAGGGAACCAATCATCTTCCCGCCATACCATGGCGACAGACGAAGGCGAGTGCTGGACTATCGATTAAAGCTGGAACATTAGTGCGTATGTAAATCTAAATTATTGTCAAAGTGTTCTTCGATTTTTTGGTTCTATTCTAAGAAACGTGTTAAAGACATAGGGACCTTCGGAAGCATTTTTTAAGCATAACAACTTATGTTAATTGCTTAGATGCAAAATAAACATTTACAATTCTTCTATAAATTTTATCTTTGAAGCCTTTGTAAGGTTTGCGAGAATTGAAATTAAAAAAAAAACATTATTAATTATGTTTTTTTTAATTTTAAACATGTGACAGTTCTTTTTTTTTTTTTAAATAGTGGCATTGCTGCACGGAGAGAAACGTCGTATTTATAGGAGAATATAATTTCCCACGAATAATAATTTTAGTGAGGACAAAAAAATATACGATCATATTTCTTTCGGTTCATGACTGAACACAAAACAAGCGTGTCGTTTCCTTCTACGGTAGAAATAACAACAATGATAAGAATACAGGATCATGTTTCTTTCGCTTCATGACTGACGAGGTAGAAGTTTTGCCCACCAAACAGGCGTGTCGTTTCTTTCCACGGTAGGCTGGTTACCAACCGATACTTTCGTACTTACTGCCTCGCTCTTCAACCCATAGCTAGCAGACGACGAAATGAATTCATACCTCTCCTCATTTGCGAAAGTGAATGTAAAGAATTAGACTGCAATTCGAACAGACTTTTCTGATTCCTCATTCCTAGCCGTTACCCATAACCCCACAGCTCACATCCCTTAACAAGGTAATTGTGTGAAAACATTATTTACAGCGGAAAAGCCAGACGTTTTGCAAAAGCTCTGAAATCGAGATTGTTCAAGCTTGTGCTTAAACTATAAACACATCAAAATCCAATGGAAAACTGTTTATCCCGAAATACAAGTTTAGAAATTTAAAAGTTTTGACAATATACACGGTGCGATGTATAAATTGTCGTCTTACTTGTGCAAAAAGGAAAATAACACTGACATCTCATTTTAACAAAATGAGACAAAAATATCTTGAAATACTAAATAGTAGATTTATTCAATAAAATCGCCACTAGCTTCAACCACGGTTTGCAAACGACTACGGAATCTCCTGCAACTCTTCTGGAGGGTCAACTTGTTTAAGTTGATGAATGCTGCCATAATCGTTGCCTTCAGTTCATCTTTGGTGTTATCAGGAATTTTGTTGGTCTCTCGCTCAACTCCGCCTCCACATAATAATTAAGGGGGTTGCAGTTTGCGGAATCAGGTAACCACATGTAAGGGGTGATGTGGTGGCAGAAATTGTCTGACAGCCATGAATGGGTTCTCTTGCTTGTGTAGCATGGTGCAGAGTCCAGTTGCCAGACATAGGGTCTCCCAGTTGCCACCCTCTTGACCCAAAGCAGCACACTCTCCACAAGACATTTGATGTAGGCTTCAGTGTTGAGTTTGAGGCCCTTACCAACAAGCTCGGGAGTTCGTTTCTTATCAGAACGATCAGAGTGATTTTTCGTATCTGCCGGACCTTCGTAATCACCATTAGACTCATCCAACTCATTCCGAATCTTCTGCACTGTCCTCAGATTGATACCCAAACACTCTGAAATATTCGTATTGGAGCTTCCGGTGCCGATACCAAGCAGTATAGCATGCCCTTTCCATATTTCTGGCAGAGTGAATTGCGTCATGGGGCTCTTTTTCTCACAGACGATGTCCAACTGGCCCTACTATACTGTGCAGACGACAAAATCAACAGCAAACATGAAATCCATCATAATAAAGGTTATTTTGCTGAAGTTTCATGAGAAAACAATGTTTTTAATTTCTTTGCTTAAAAGAAAGATCAGAATTTATTTTAAGCAGTTTTCTGAAGATTATACACAAAGTTTAATTAGTTTGAGATAAGTCTATGTTTTACGAACCCCCTGTAGGAATTGAACCTACTATCTATACACTGCTATTTGATTGTTATCACAAATGTAGTTTAGTAAATGCTTATATAGTTAGTCATTTGCAATTAAGCAAGCAGAAGAACTAAAACCCTATTTGACTGGATGAAGAAATTCAAACCTTTTAGGATTTTGGTGACGAAGGAACTTTCCGGCATCATCCACAACATTGCTAACATTCCAAAAACTGCGCAATCGTCTTCACACGGCTGATTTCCCATCAAGAATAGATTCCGGCCTGGGGAGGGATAGAAAAACATTCACTTGAATTGTAAGAAGAAAAAAGAATTTCAAACTCTTTCTAAATTTGCATTGAAATAATTTGGAAATTGTAACCGGCAATGAAAAGTCTTTCGGCAAAAGAAATATCAAACATTAGATACTTACTGGAATGTAAAGGTTTCTTTGCTGAATGATGACAGTATATAATCTCGATAATGGTTAGCAAGCTGACCTCGCTAGATAAATAACGATCCTGGTTATTGCGGAAAATTATCAGTAGGTACCACTGAATTTTTAAGGAGTTTGTAAAAGATCCTAGACAACTCTGAATACAGGTCTAACTATGATTATCAAAATATACAAGGTGCCAAAAGACAAATCAAATAACAAAATATGGGAGACTGCTCACAGGGCCAAAAATCGATGAAAATGCCCAACAAAATTTATGATGATCAATTTTTTTAATCGTTCTTTTTGCTGAGGAATGCCTTGCTATCTAAGGTCAGACGAATCGAGTAAAGTCTAATTCAAATCGACATCACACGAGTTCAATTATAGGTGGAGAAATGGTGGACCTAGAGCCAGATCTATTGTGGGGTTAAATTGAGAGCTCAGATGTACATTAATTTTTGTACAGCGCTAGGACAGTCATATTTTAAAAAGAGGCCAAATAACTTTCATAAATTGGATTTTTATTATACATGACAATGCATAACATCAAATTGGGAGCTCAGATATACTTTAATGCTAGTTGTTTGGCATATTAACACCTCTATGGTTTTTTTAATGCTGAATCTACATATTTTGATCATAATTTTATGGCTCCAACGACAGACCAAATATATTTTTGGTCATTTTGCCTTAAATATGTATTGTTGGTAATTTTATTATAAATATATATTTTGGTTGGTTGGTTTTGGTTAGCGGCATTTCAACCTCTATGGGTTAATCGCGAAATCTGTATATTTTGTACATAATTTTATTTTACGCTAAAGTTATGTTATATATCTTGTAGATCATAAAATGTATTGTTGGTAATTTTACTTAAAAATGTATTTTAAATTGTTTTTAATGTTTTATTTATTGTCGTTTTGCAATAAAAAAAATCTATTGTCTTTCACTTTAAAATAAAATCTTTTGTGAAGGCATTCCTGCGGTCATATTTTAAACGAGGCCAAACACTTTCGAAAATGGCATTATTATACATGACAATGCACACCGTTAAACTGAAAGCTCAGATGTACATTAATTTTTGTGAAAGCCCTCGTGCAGTCATAGTTTTAAAAAGAAGCCAAACACTTTCAAAAATAGGGTCTTCATGCATGACAATGCTCACCATGATATTCGATGAAAAAAAACTAATGTATTTATAAATAAAATTGGTTTCAAAGGCACCCATCTTATGAAATGACCGATTTGAACGCTCATTCTTAATCGAATTCAGACTTGTTGAACTTTTTCCAGGGAAAGGTTTAGATATTTTTTTTGCTGTCTAATGTATTTTCTATTATAAAATCATCATTCATCATTATTCGACCGCAGTCGGGATCATCGAACCAATGCGAACGATCCTTTCTTTAGTTGTATGTGCTACACCAGGTTTACAAAATAAAATACAGTCGATCACAAAATCAACAGATGAATCACTTCAAAATTTGTTTCAGAACGTGGTGTTATACATTTTACTTTAATTTTATCTTTATATCTATCCTCATTACAACGAGACTTCATTTTTTTTATTCATAACATTTGTCTATAAACTTTGCGCATATTTTGTCGTTAAAATGATTGTTATGAATAATCAAGAGTGGTCTCCACTTGTTTTGTTACTCTCCTCTTTGAGAGAGTTATTTCTGTTTACTGGGACTATAAAAGGACACTATACGCGAACCTTGTATTCTCAGTTGAATAAAGCTTTCTTAAAGCCTACACCAGAGTACTTTTGTCATTACAATGATTAATTAAAAATTCATGTTTTATGCTTGCTTGATTGTTTCTTATCAACACCTCTATGGGTTATTTAATGCCGAAATTTACATATTTTGTCCATAATTTTATGCTTTCAACTACAGATATTTTGTACTTAATTTTATGAAGGCATTCTTTTTTAGATATGTAGTTTGTACATCATAAAATATATCGTCGGTAATTTTATTATGAAAATGTATTTTTATATTTTTTTAGTGTTGCATTGATATAATTTTACTATAAAAATCTATTGTTGCACATTTTATTATAAAAATGAACTGTTGATTTTCTTTTACGTGGAGGCTACTATTTTCCCATAGCTGGAACCCTAACAGGTGCTACCACGCCGAGTTAGGGTGGACCTAGAGACAATAGCAATTAAGAGGTGGTTCCACACTCCTCAAAAACTCCAATCTCCCGATCGGAGGCTTTGCTGCTGAATGTAGTTTATCGTCATACTTAGGACGATCTTGTAGTTACACTAAACATGTCTAATAACATGTAACATGGAAAATCTGTTAAAACTCTTCAAATTGTTGCCACCCAGGCACGCAGTCTATTATTATTTATACAAATGTAAAATAGTCTGTACATAAATATGGCAAATATTTCTGTGCACCCCGTCGTCAGATTCCTAAGAATTTTTAAATATTTGGGAGCTTTTTGTTATTTCCCACCCAAACGTTTAATGGCTATAACATTAAAGTACGGATGCAGACAAAGAGGGAAAAATGAATTAAGTTTCAAATCCTTTTTCTTGCTGATTAAATATTCAATTCGTGGTTTTTATTTGCGGTCAAATCTTCGTAGAAATTTGATCTTTCATGTTTAAAACGTCATTTTAAATTTTCTTCTGAACATCTTTTTTCATTTTTTTTTTTTTTTTGTGGTGGCATTCCGGATCAAATGATCTATCATTTTTTGCAGTTTTCTCGATTTCAAGAATTTAAAAAAATAGGTTTATCATTTAGTTAATCTCTTTATTCGTTCCCAAAACGAAAAGGAAAATACTTGGTAAGAGCGTTAAGCTTTTAGTTCTTTGTCAAGAATAAAATGAACATTTTTCCATATTTTTGGTTTCCTTATTTTAAAATTACAGACGTTGGACTTTTAGCGAGGAATAACGAAAAAGACAATATACAGGATGTTTCAAAAAGAATACGCCAAAATCATTACACTGTTTTTTCAGGTCTATAGCATTGTAGTGGACTGAATCAGTGGTTATTTGATAGAGTAGTTATCAAAGTTTGATTGGGTGTCAGTTTCACCGCTGTCGTTAGCATAACTTCCGCTGCAGCTACAAACAGGACAAACTGCTCCAAAAATGGCTATTCACTTTACTGCAAGCAGATTCGAATGACTTCATTTTTCAGCAAGATGGAGCACCACCCCGTTGGCATCTCGGGGTTAGAGCTTATCTGAATGAAAACGTGCCTTAGCGATGGATTGGGAGGAGAGGTGCTAAAGACCTTGCTCTCTGTGCTTGGCCTGCCAGATCCCCGGATCTCACTGTGTGTGACTTCTTCTTGTGGGGGTATGTTAAAGATCAAGTTTATGTTCCAGTACTTCCAGCAAGTATCGATGACTTGAAAAATCGAATAACTGCTGCAATCAACACGGTGGACCGTGACATGCTGAGGCGCGTTTGGGAGGAATTCTCATATCGGCTTGATGTTGTCCGCGCTGCCGGTGGTGGCCACATTGAGCACTTATAAAACATGAAATGAAACTTGAATGTATATATAATACATGTGTTCATGCTAGAGGTTTGTAATTTTTTTTCGTTTTTGACATATCACGTGATGATTTTAGCGTATTCTTTTTGAAACACCCTGTACATCTAACAGAATAGCAAGTGTTTCCTTCATAGACTTGAATTAAAGGATTAGCCCCTTCAGCTTTGTCAATATTTAAATGAACACACTGGAATCAAAAGGCTTTTTTGTTGAATGATAAAAGAGTATCTGCACAGTTAGCATGTAATATAGTTTCTTTCATTTCCTATTTCTCGTCAACTAAAATTAAATTCATGGATGAATATTATAGAAAATATATTATAAAGAAATTAAAATAAGGCTGTTAAGAGTGAGATTAAATTTCACAAGAAAGTTACCTAATTAATTTATAAGTGCCTTTCTTATGAAATTTTATCAGAAGTGTACATAAAATACTATAATTTTATATACATTTATTACATTTTACTGTGTTATTTGTATTTCCATTCATTTTATTATTAATTTTGATATTTCATTTATGGAAAAATGTCATAACTAAGATTAATATAAAAATAAGATCATATAAATTTCATAAGATGATACTGATACTTGTAGGTACCATTCTCAGTTGAAAGTGAAAAATCAAATTAACTTCTCCATACGTGTTTCGCAAAAGTAAAGGCCTTAACAGCGGAGAACAATGCTTAACTCAAATAAAGCAACTTAATTGTATTCTGAATGGTCTTCCGTACTTTATAATTACAGTCCGATTATAAACACAAAATTACATTTTTTAATTACTGTGGATTTTCTGATTAGTCAAAATGATACAATTTACAAAGCGCTAAAAAAAGATCTATCTCATAAGGACACTTAGGAAACCCGATCCGGCTTTTAACTAATTTTATAATATTTTGATAACTTAAATGTAAAAATCTATTAAAATTAAAAAATAACAAATAATTGTATTAGAAATTCATTTTTCATCGATTTTATTTTTTTTTTTTTTTGCTTTCAGAAAATATTGTCCATATTCATAAAACAACTAAAAGCATTTAAAATTAAATAATATATTTGTTTTATTGAGTTTTGTATGTTACAATTCAGAGCTGATTTTCAGGTATGGGGGTCCAATTAAAAACAACAAAAAAAACATGATTTGCATTCTTCAAAGCCTTGTGCTTTTAACTATTGTAATCACTAAGCCTGATGCGATCGAGTTTCTAGCGTTTTCATAAAATTAGTTATGCGGTGGGGGTAATAAATTAAAAAAAAAACATATTTCTGTCATAACTTTAATAAAAAATATTTATAATAATTTCCATCATCTATGAATAGTTTCTGCAAGTTTCATTAACATCCGACAATTATTTTTATTTTTGCAAGATTTTCCAAATTAATGTGTGTCATACAAAAAAAAGTGCTAAAAATTGTATATGCTATTTTACTAGTTCCGATGATACAAAGAGAAACAAGGTTTTTTTAATCAAAATTTAGAATGTTCTAAAAAAGAAGGAAAAAATTTTTAAAATAATTAAAATAAACTTTGATCTTTCCTCTTAATAATAACATAAGCATTTAGACGATAAAATTTTGTTTTCGTCAAGTTTGGCGTCTTTTTCATCATACTATGCTGTTTTTTAGCGATATCATGGAGGTACAAAATCAAAATTTTTTAGCGATATCATGGAGGTGATAAAATAAACGAGAATGCCAATTTATCTAAAAATGGCCCTATCCCCAACAAAATCAGCAAGATTATAAAACAGAATGAAGTAAACTTACCAATTTGGTCAGACAATGCTTGAAGATCTTGTTTACAGAGTGCCTCGACTTCTTCTGGAGTATGTCGGCCATAGCCCTGACAATAAGCTTGTTTCGTAACAGCAGATCTTATTCTCCACAAGATAAATCTGTTCACTGGAATTATTTTTAACAAAGACGAATCACCGTAGCTATAGACCCACCGGCTCAAAGATACAGTCCTGGAAAGCGAAATTTTCAAATTGGCAGTTTGTGACAAAACGCAGAAAGAAAGAAAAAGTGTGGTTAACGTGATTGAAAACTTACATTTATAGAATGGAAGTAGAACAAAAATCTACTTACGAAACATGAAATAAGGAAAAAATATCACATCTGAATCTTTGGATTCGACAATCCTTACAAACTAGCGAGAATCATAACAGTTTAAATTCTAACAAATTACAAATTTGAACACTAAGCATTCCTCCAATGTTTATAGCTCGTGTTCTGTCAAAGAATTCTTTTCAAAGAATATTGAAGACTACCAGTTGTGGCTTTTAATAAAGTACAAACCAAAGCAAAGATGAAAATATTATTTACAAAAATTCATGAAATTTCTTTCAGAAATAACACAATGACATGCTTAATTTTATTTTTGAGACATTATCAATATTTAAATTTCTCAATTTATTCTCATCTTTCAATGTGTAGTATGTGATTCACGCCAGCAAATACCAGAGGCCGGTATCAATCAGGAACCTTTGTTATAAGAAGAGTTGATCTGTGGTGACCCCCAATATGTACTAGGTTCATCGTAAAAGTAAATTTGTACTCTGTGTCATATCAGAAAGTCAAATACCTAAGAAGCCAACTGGTAGGGAACCTCGAAGTTACCAAGTGCAGAATCGGACCTTGAAGAATATCACTGGTGCATCTACATAAACAAGGAAATTAATCCAGCTGAACTTAGAGAGTGTATACATAAAAGGCAACCGGATAGTAGGGAGTTGTATAAACGCCCAACCCACTGGGGAAGCGACAGAAGCCCTCACATCCTCGCAAGAAGATCTAACGACTGAAGGATGACCCGTAAGTACATACGCTAGAATTCGACTGACATTGATCTGACAGAGTCCAAAAATGAATAAACAATTATTTTGCGTATGAGAATTTTGTCACGTTTTCTTATCAAACGTTAGTAACATTATAAATGTTATAGAGATTATTAAACACAATGTACACGACACGGATACGACATACAAAATATCACCTATCATCCAAAATAACGGACTTTGTGTCTGGAATAACACCTATAAAAGGATGAGAACACTAGATTGAATGAAAGATACTCGATAATCATTGCAGAGGGAAAATACTCGATAATTTTACTCGTAGGATGAATGGTAACTTGTCCAAAATTGATCACATAAAAAGAGTACAACACGAATACATACAAATGGTCGGCCTCTAAGAAGTAAGAGAGTGGCCACTTACCAATAAAAGCTTTCTTCAACCATTTTCCGCATAGCATGAGCAACTGCCTTCTCTTCTGACGTCAGATGTTTACTAAGATCGATGTCAAATTTTTTGTTTAGGAATTCAATAATGAACTGAGTGTCGCTTATCACCTGCCCGTTAAACATGATCCATGGAGTTTTATGCTTTGGTGACAACTTCAGACCATACTCATTCTGAAAACAGAAACATACTACAGGTAAATGTTTTTATTTAAAATAAACAATGATTCTTAAATGTAAAAAGAATCTTTTCGTTTTTATTTGTTGTAGAAAATTTATAAGCTTTTATTAAAACTATTTCTTCAATTAATTTTTTTTTTTTTTTACAAAAATAAAAACAAAATCCTCATATTATGGAGCAGCTGACATCGATGAAACTGCCCATTTTATTGACTTGACGTTAAGTTAATGAATTCATTTTCTGCCATGTAATACATAAATGAATGCGATTGTTGGTTTATGTAAATAAGCCGAGTTAGAAATAAGGTCAATCGAGGGTTTGATGGATCCAATTAACATGAGTTATTTTTATTTTGTTTTTATTATTTTAGTCTGTTTTTGGGTTCATCCCCTCCCCGCTTATTGTATATCATTTATAGATTTTTATTTATATGATTTTATGATCGTGAAATTTTTATGACATGGGGCGTTTTTGTAGGTTCCCTGAGAGGATACGGTATTATAGTATATGGAGGATTGAGTGACGATGGATGGGTAATTGTGGTGGATGTGCAAATTGTAACGAGTGAATGGGTGGTGAATCCGGGTAGCAAATGACGACCAGCCTTTAGGCCTTGTGCCAAAATTGTATTCTAATATACAATAAATCAACATTAGGTCAATTGCTAAGTGTAACCTCGTGTAGTAAAAACATTTAAGAGAAGTAAGTGTTACTTTTTGTCCACGTATTGTCCCTTTTTCTTGTCCTGTGAACTTTTTCTTCGTCATTGAAACTGGGGAGGGAACCCCTCCACTATGGCGTAAGTCCCCCCCCCAAAGGATAAAGCGCCATTGGCCACTCAGCTATCAACGTCTGCATGGACCAAAAAAGGGCCAGACTATTACAATTTCCTTCGTGAAGAATGCAGTGCCCTCATTTCAGGCCACGAACATTTGCCTATGCCTTCTGTTATGGAGGCAGTGGCTTCAAGAACTGTCTCTCTGTTGACAGCCGACGTCAAGACGCGAGAGTTTATTGCTGTCAGCAGGGAGGCAATGGAAGACGCTCTAAAGGCCTTGAATATTGGGGCCAAAGTGTTGGCTCGAAGATCAAATGCCATGTGGGACAATCTGCTGGCAACTGAAGAGACGGCAAAAACATTAGCCGGGAGTATCCTTACCACCAAGAGGCTGAGACTCCAGACGGAATACATGGGTACTCGGAAAACCCAGATTACTTTACACGGGGTGCCCATGTACATCACTGAAGAACATTTGGGGGTCTTCTTCTCGGATTACGGTCCAATGAAGGGAGCGTCCTACATCAAAAGTGAGTCCACAAGTGAGTTTGACCCAATCCAAGTTCAATGAAGTCCCCAGCAGCCGAAGCATCTTTTATCGCCGTAGAGGGTCGCCGTAGAGGGTCGCCGCCTCCACTGCTGGGCTTGTGGTGCCGCCGGTCGCCTGACAAAGTTATGTCCGACCAGGAATCCAGCGCCACAGACACAACCAACCCCAGAGCAGCCGAAGGTAAGTACACTAAAGAAGGTCTCAGTGGTCCTGATGAATAGACTGATGGGATCCGAAGCAGCAACTCCGCCTCCCCAGCAGGATGTCTTAGGAAGATGAGCTGATAAGCCAGCACAGAAGAAGGCCACGGTGGTCAAACCAGCAGCAAAAACAACAACAACAGATGCAGCAGCAGTAAGAGCTGCAGTCGACTCAGCGTCAACAGCAGCAGCAGCCGAAGAAGCTGCAGCACAAGCAGCTGCTGCCGAAGCAGCAACCGGAGCAGCGTCCGGAGCAGTAGCTCCCGCATTAACAGCACTAGCTGTCAGAACCACAGCAGCAGCAGGTGGAGGTAGTAGAGTTGACGCAGTTGGACCTCTACATGGAGGTGGAGGGGATGCCTTCACCAAGATCCTCCTCACTGAAAACGTGGGAGGGACGAGAAGGAAGAGGAAGACGCCAGGTACACAAAAATGGAGAGGAAAGCTGGTCGGAGTAAGGCGAAGAAGGCTCTGGCAGCTGCCAAGACCTAGTCCACTCCTCTTTCGCCAGTAAGAAAGCCTCTCAAGACAATGAGCCTCCCTTCGAAAACTGAGCCCTAGAAGGAAGGCCATCTTGAGGTCTCTATTCAAGCGAACCTCCGTTGACTTCCTGTCAAGTTTCGAGTTTCATAGCTATTTGATTGACTTTCCTCGGCTTGGAAAGACAGATAAGCAAAGCCATAAAAATGGTTTTGCTTCCGTACAAGATTTGTGAAAATATTGTGTTTTTCAACTTACACGATAAGGTATCTTTGCCATCCGCAAGTAAGTTTCCAATTTGATTGCAAATGGTGACAAGTTCGGGACCGTCGGTGTTCTAGGCGTTTGAAATAAGATAACGACATCTTTAGGGTGCTCTTTTTTCCTGGGAAGAAGAAAAACACGATGAGCGTCATATGGAAAACAAAAATATCTTTCTTATTCAAAATAAAAATAAAAATGGTTAGCAATTGTTCAATATTTGCAGAGGATTTAATTCGTCCCGTTGCAAAATTTATAACACCGCCTCATGTTTTGTTTTGTTTTTTTGTTTTTTTATCATTTCACCCAAGAAGCAAGGCAATAAAGCCACTAAGACAAAATGGGTCATTGAGCGTGAAAGAATAAGAAAAACATCATTGTGGAGCGAGAACAATAAAAGAGTAGTCTAGAATACATAAGATAACGATTAGCATTACATTTAAATTTTTGAAGATCAAATTTGGCTGGAAATTATGAAGACGTTATTATTAGCATAGAAATTACGGTTACATCTAGCGAATTCAACTGTAAAATGATGAGACCTTGCCGCCAAACTAGTACCGCGCTTAAATTCATAAATTTTAGGTCCTATCAGTCAGTATTTCGATCTGTTGTTCCTGGTCACAATTACTATAACTGATTAATCTTGGCCACGTCATTTGGTAGGTGCGTTTAGCCTAGAATTGGGGTTATATCTAGTCAGTTTAACTATGAAATGATGAGACCTAGCTGCCAATCTAATACCGCGTTTAGATTCGTGATACCTAAGACGAAACATTAGAACACTTGCCATAAAAATATTTATGAAAAACGGCAAAGGAAGTTATATTGCGGCGGTGGGAATGTGACTGAATCTGCTTCAAACCGACATTAGGCATTCTTATCCAAATAAAACGTTGAACCAATGTTGCCACCCTGTTCTATTCCAATCATGCAGTAAAATCAGTGAGGTAAGAAACAAATTAATCACGAGGGCAACTGCCTTACACATCTCAAAGACAAGGTGCGGCATACTCATCGCTAAATATGCTGGGCAAATGATCGGTCCTTTGTATTGTTCTAGTAAGAATCGGACTCCGTCTGCTATGCCAGAACCAAGTCACACCAAAAATAGACTACTGGAGCGTCACAGTCTTCACTTAAAAAATTTGATAGAGTTCAGAATCAGTTGAGGAATTATCTTCTACTCAGTGTACAATCCCTATCTCACAGAAAAAAGGTCGCAGGCGTCTCACTATCGCTATTGAATGTGCTGAGGAGTTACATTCCTTAGACCCACCAGTTCAGACTTTCACAGCTAAGACCTGGCATTCCCCGTACACTGAGACTAGTCATCCACATTCCCTTCCTATTCCGTTAGTAAGGAAGAAGTTCCATTCGGATAGCTTCTTTCCAAGAACCGCTACTTTATGGAGCAGACTTCCGAGGAGATGTTTCCCTAATCACTACAATCTCTTCAAGTTTACGGTTAACCATTATCTTTCATTATAAACTATTTACAAGATATCGGCCCGGTGGCTAGGATCAAAGTGTAGTATCTGCGCTTTGTGAGCTGCCGGGTCGGGTGTCTGTCGAACTCTCTGCTTGCAGAGAGGAATCCGGACGAAGCTCCGCCGAAGGGTAGGGTTTCGTTGGGGGAGGTTGACGGAACTGGCCCGCTTCGGCGGGTTTGGATGGTTATTTATTTTTGGCTGGGCCTACGGGCTCAGAGATACCCACATTAAAAAGGCCTTGTACCACATTCGATCCCCGTGGGTGGATTGATAAATACCATCTTTCATTATAAACTTATCTCCTCGTTTTTTTATGTGTGCGTCAACTTCATCCAATAAACTAACTTGATTGTCTCTTACGTCGTCTTGCATCGGGTCAAAACTAATAAAATAAATAAGTCAAAACCCGTTGAGCCAAAGTTTTGACCCTGAAGTAGATGGAGATCTGAAATATGATTAGGGGAATAAAAAGATGCCATCATTTACAAACACGTTCGTGTAACAAAAGTGCAGCCATTTTGAGTTGATCTGAATTTCATTTTACACGCAAAGAAAACCACTCGCCCTCAATATCGACAAAATTTTATCTGTTGATGCTGACTTTGATCTCAGAATTGAGAATTGAATCATATGATACCAACAAAGACAACCGTTGGTTCAAATAAAAATTTAAATGTTTATCAAAGCGCCAAAGTCACTAAATTTTAACATAGGTTAGAGGACTGTCAAAGAACTAGTTCAAGAAAAAGAAAAGCGGATAGCCTCGTGTCAGACTGAGCAGAGATCAAGTAAATTTGTATGAACTGCTTATTTTCAACAGTGACCTTAGTTTAAATCGCTTTTTTAAACAGGGGTGAAGTCAATGATTCTATTTTTCGAACAAGCCCTTTCTATCACGTGATCCTTTTTTTTTACTGTTATTCACCCAATAAAAGGCACATGAGCCACTCAAGATAGAGTGTTACTGAATGAAGTAATATGTAAATAACTGTTCACCCAAGACTTGAAGAGGTTAAGATTACAGTGATCGTGGTAAAAGCATCCCCTTGAGAGGCTGTTTTACAAAGTGCTAGTTTTTCCAAAGAAGCTTCCGAATGATTTGACCCTGTATACGTTGCATGTCTGGTCTTTCCTGAAACGGTCTGAACTAGTGGAACTAAGGAATATAGATTGTCAGAAGATTTTCCGTAGTTACAAGGAGAGCTTGCGACGTTTCATTTGCGGGAAAAGGGTTGTAGGCTGAAAACTAACCACCCAAAAGGCCGCGTAGATGCTTTTGAACTCTGTCAAGCTTGGAAAGAGAGAGTTGAGCATCTCCAGCCCCGATATAGCAGTAAAAGTTCATTTTTGATTTGATTTGAATCTTGTAAAGATATAGTATAAATAAACTTAATAAGATGACAAAGTTTTGTATAGACTACATAATTACAGACACATTATTGCTTTAAGGTCTTTTACACAGGGATAGCGTTTTATCTCTTGTTTCCTGTTTAGGATTGGTTTTCTGATTCCTTCTAAAGTCTAGAATTAGCTGGCTATCTTTCTTGTTATCTTGCACTTTCTTACACTAATACACCTCTACACATTAATCCTCTACCTCGAGTGGCTCTTGGGCCTTGTAATGGGTAAACAATAAAAAAAGAACAAAAAAACGGATTGATAGAAATGATTTCATTATTTTAAGTGATTATGAACAAACATTTTCTTCTAATCAGTTTTACAGTTTGGGGTTTAAATAAAATAAATTCAGATACTTCTTTTCCTTGCTTTGGTTTGTTTTATGGTATATCAAACTCAATGGGTTATTTAATGCCAAGGTTTTTATTGCTGGCAATATTTTTCTTTAAAAAAAAAAAGTATTGCTGGTAATATTTTTTCCTTCAAAAATGTATTAATAATTTTTCTTTAAAAAATGTATTGCCGGTAATAATTTTTTTTCCAAAAATGTATTGCTGGTATTAAAACTTATTTTTACACTTTCATAGTGTTTTGACCCCATTATGGGGTTAACTATTTGACAATAGCTGGGACTCTACCAGGTGCTACCAACCCGAGTCAAGGTGGACTTGGAAACACCAGAAATTAAGAGGTGGTTCCACACTCCTCAAAACTTCCTGATTAAAGGCCTTGCTGTTGGATGTAGTTTATCGTCTTACCCAGGACTCGGACGTTGCTTGTCAATGGAGATTTAATATTGATAACATCAAAAGACACCAAAGAGATTTTATAAAAGAATGTCATTACCTGGTGAATCGATAATGATACAATGGTCATTAGAAATTCCTCGTTGTGATAAAATACTTAGGGAAAGAATTGCAGAAGACAGTCGCAATTGCGTAACATATTCTCTCTTCATTTAGCTTTGTACCAGACTATATTAAGTAAGACAGATTATATAATCTGTACCAAGTAACTATCTCGTTAGACCGAAACACATTAGAATAGTTGCAAAACTCAGCAATGTCAAGTTTCTAGGGTTATTATAATGAGCTTGGTTTGGTACAAGGTCACGTGTATATGGAGCACCCAGTGATGATCGAGCTGCATGATAATATTTAACCTCAAATTTAAAAAAAAAAATTAATAAAAAAAAAAATGGAAATACTTCCAGCGAACAAAGAAAATCGACAGACTGGATGAACATCTAATTGATTGACTTATAGCATCTATGAACCCAAAATACAAATTACAAATCGGGGATACTAAAATCAAACAAGTACAGAAATTTAAATATCTGGGAAGTGTTCTAACCGAGGACGGAAGGTGCAACATTAAGACCCGAAGACGTATTGGTAAAGCCAAAGATGCATTCCAAAACCTAAGCAGAATATCAAGAGGCAGAAAAATTTCGTGGAAAAACAAAAGAGTATTGGACTGCTACGTGATATCTGTCCTCCTTTATGGCAGTGAATACTGGATGATCTCCTCAAAGATGAAGAAAAGACTTGAAGCAACAGAAATGTGGATCTGCAGAAAGATGCTAAGGATACCATGGACCGAACATGTGAGCAACGACGAGATTTTAAAGAAAATGTAAACAAAAAGGAAACTTATACTTAACATCAGGAAAAGACAGTTGAAATGTTTGGGGGTAAGTAATGAGTCGGGGAGGGCTTTGGAAAGATTGAGGGAAAGAGGGACAGGGGAAAGCAACGCCTGACATAATTGATGAGCTTGTATAAATGGAGAGTAGAACAAGGTTTGAGAGACATAACAAAAAGACAGAACTTATTAACAGCCACAAAGGGACAGGAAGATGTGGAGGGCTGTGGTTGCCTACGTTCTGAAAGGACACGGCACATAAAAGTATGGCTGACATAAAACTGATAATTTTGTCTTTTTCTGAAAAAAAAAAGGGGGGGTTCTTGGTTTTGGTTGAGAACTCCATAATACACAGATGGCAGATTTTGGGGTCTTACTTTTCCTCTAATAACCACCATTTTATAGTCAGATGAAAAATACCAAAGAACAATCTTTCATTTGTCTGGGACGTTATCTGGAGGCATCAGGATCCAGAACAATCGTCTAAGCAACACCCATCTAAAGAATCGTGGTTTAATGTGGATTGTTACTAACCCACATTAGACCATATTTATATGGAGATTATCTGCGTGACATTGCTTAAAATGAA